CCCCCCGAGAAGGTTTCACATCAAAAATAAAGTGCATTTGGCGCCTCCGAGAAGGTTTTACATTAAAAAAAAAACAGTTGGCACCCTCGAAAAGGTTTTACATTTTCAAAACAAAAACAGTTGGGACTCCCGAGAAGGTTTTACATTAAAAATAAACTGCATTTGGCGCCCCCGAGAACGTTTTACATTTTCAAAACAAAAAAACAGTTGGGACCCCCCGAGAAGGTTTCACATCAAAAATAAAATGCATTTGGTGCCGTCGAGAAGGTTTTACATTAAAAAAACAGTCGGGACCCCCCGAGAAGGTTTCACATCAAAAATAAAATGCATTTGGCGCCCCCGAGAAAGTTTTACATTTTCAAAACAAAAACAGTTGGGACCCTCGAGAAGGTTTTACATTTTCAAAAAAAAAAACTGTTGGGACCCCCCGAGAAGGTTTCACATCAAAAATAAAATGCATTTGGCGCCCCCGAGAAGGTTTTACATTTTCAAAACAAAAACAGTTGGGACTCCCGAGAAGGTTTTACATTTTCAAAAAAAAAACAGTTGGGACCCCCCGAGAAGGTTTCACATTAAAAATAAAATGCATTTGGCGCCCCCGAGAAGGTTTTACATTTTCAAAACAAAAAAACAGTTGGGACCCCCTGAGAAGGTTTCACATCAAAAATAAAATTAATTTGGCGCCTCCGAGAAGGTTTTACATTAAAAAAAAAACAGTTGGGACCCCCCGAGAAGGTTTCACATCAAAAATAAAATGCATTTGGCGTCCCCGAGAAGGTTTTACATTTTCAAAACAAAAACAGTTGGGACCCCTGAGAAGGTTTTACAATTTCAAAAAAAAAACTGTTGGGACCCCGTGAGAAGGTTTCACATTAAAAATAAAATGCATTTGGCGCCCCCGAGAAGGTTTTACATTTTCAAAACAAAAACAGTTGGGACCCCTGAGAAGGTTTTACAATTTCAAAAAAAAAAACTGTTGGGACCCCGTGAGAAGGTTTCACATTAAAAATAAAATGCATTTGGCGCCCCCGAGAAGGTTTTACATTTTCAAAACAAAAGTAGTTGGGACCCCTGAGAAGGTTTTACAATTTCAAAAAAAAAAACTGTTGGGACCCCCCGAGAAGGTTTCACATTAAAAATAAAATGCATTTGGCGCCCCCGAGAAGGTTTTACATTTTCAAAACAAAAACAGTTGGGACTCCCGAGAAGGTTTTATATTTTCAAAAAAAAAAACAGTTGGGACCCCCCGAGGTTTCACATTAAAAATAAAATGCATTTGGCGCCCCCGAGAAGGTTTTACATTTTCAAAACAAAAACAGTTGGGACCCACGAAAAGGTTTTACATTTTCAAAAAAAAACAGTTGGGACCCCCCGAGGTTTCACATCAAAAATAAAATGCATTTGGCGCCCCCGAGAAGGTTTTAAATTTTCAAAACAAAAATACTTGGGACCCCTGAAAAGGTTTTATAATTTCAAAAAAACTGTTGGGACCCCCCGAGAAAGTTTCACATTAAAAATAAAATACATTTGGCGTCCCCGAGAAGGTTTTACATTTTCAAAACAAAAACAGTTGGGACATCCGAGAAGGTTTTACATTTTCAAAAAAAAAAAAAACAGTTGGGACCTCCCGAGAAGGTTTCACATTAAAAATAAAATGCATTTGGCGCCCCCGAGAAGGTTTTACATTTTCAAAACAAAAACAGTTGGGACTCCCGAGAAGGTTTTACATTTTCAAAAAAAAAACAGTTGGGACCCCCCGAGAAGGTTTCACATCAAAAATAAAATGTATTTGGCGCCGCCGAGAAAGGTTTTACTTTTTCAAAACAAAAACAGTTGGGACTCCCGAGAAGGTTTTACATTTTCAAAAAAAAAACAGTTGGGACCCCCCGAGAAGGTTTCACATTAAAAATAAAATGCATTTGGCGCCCCAGAGAAGGTTTTACATTTTCAAAACAAAAAAACAGTTGGGAGCCCCCGAGAAGGTTTCACATCAAAAATAAAATGCATTTGGCGCCCCAGAGGTTTTACATTAAAAAAAACAGATAGGACCCCCCGAGAAGGTTTCACATTAAAAATAAAATGCATTTAGCACCCCCGAGTAGGTTTTACATTTTCAAAAAAGACAATTGGGAGCCCGGAGAAGGTTTCACAATCTTAAAAAATTACATTTGAGTCCCTGAGAAGGTTTTACATTTTCAAAAAAAACACTTGGGGCCCCAAGAAGGTTTCGCCTTCTATAAAAAAAGGGACAGTTGGGAGCCCCGAGAAGGTTTCACATTCTTAAAAAAAAACATTTGGCGCCCCCGAGAAGGTTTTACTTTTTTAAAAAAGACAATTGGGAGCCCGGAGAAGGTTCACATGCTTAAAAAATACATTTGGGTCCCCAAGAAGGTATTACATTTTCAAAAAAGACACTTGGGGCCTCCGAGAAGATTTTGCCTTCTTTAAAAAAAGGACAGTTGGGGCCCCGAAAAGGTTTCACATTCTTAAAAAAAAAGACAGTTCAAACCTCCGAAAAGGTTTCACATTCGTAAAGAAAAACAGTGGGAACGCTGAGAAGGTTTCACAGTCTAAAAAAAAATACATTTGAGGCCCCCGAGAAAGTTTTACATCTTTAAAAAAGACAGTTGAGGCCCCCGAGAAGGTATTACATTTTTAAAGAAAGAGTGGCATTTTCTCACCTTTTCGAGAAAGTGGGGTAACTTTATCAATAAAAAATGTGTTATGACGTCATAGACATAGATAATACAGAAGAAAAGAAGAAAAAGAGTTAAATCAAATAAACATAGAATTCTTTAAAATGACGTCATCAAATTGTCGGTGGGGATGATTAGCCAATTGGCTAGCATTTAACCATCTATATGATATATACAAAATTTGATAACAATCAGTCCAGCAGTTACGTGTCTAACAAAAATGGATACAGACACCAGACAGACAGACAGATGGAAACGGGAGACTACTTTTTTCGTACTCTAGGGGTCTTGAAACGTCGAGAAAATATAAAAGTGGTCATTCATCCAATGAACTACTCGATTACTATACTTCCTTAGCTTACGCCCGGGAAGTAAAATGTCCGCAATAATAAAAAAAAATTATTTGTGTTTATTTCCTTCAAAATGAAGACAGTAATGCCAACAATAAGTGATTTAATACTGACATAGTCTAAATTTTTATTTCTAGGTTTCTACAAACGCATAGAAAATTATATAAATACAATTTTTATCAAATTTATAAAATGTGATTCTAAGCAACTGCCAAAATAAGATTCATCGCAATCTACATTTTTACAACTGAAGTCGTTTTTAGACGTAACACAATACTGCTCGCTTCGCTCGCCCTTTGTAATACTAGTTGTACGGTTTATGAATTAAGCTCAATCTTATCAGTTCATGTGATATTGTTTTAGTAAATTAATCAAGAAGTGGCACTATACAGCTCGCTTCGCTTTCTGGAAAAATCTCGAAAATAAGTTTTTAGACGAAAAAAATTGACAAATGAACCGATTTAATTTTGTTTTTTGAAGCTAACTTAACACAGCTCGCTTTGCTCGCTGTACGAATATCAAGTATATATTTTTAATAGTATTTTGCTTTTAAATATAGCATAATATTGCTCACTTCATTAGCTATTACATATATACATTGAAGTTAACCTAATTAAAACTTATTTTGGAAATAAATACGCCTCTGTTTTTTAGAGAATTTTCTTTTTTACGTATAGGTTGGTTTTTATAAGAAATAAATTGACAAATAGCCGAATTATATTTTAGCTTTAAAAGTTTCGTTCGGTAAAAGAAATAGCATGACTCTGGCTTAGTGAGTAAATACACCCCTGTTTTCTAGAAAATTTTGTTTTTTTTTTTATTTGTACTTGGTCATTTACTTTATTTCAAAACTAACTTAGGATATAATATGTTTTTAGAAAGAAAATCAGGAAATTTTAATCATGTTATTTCAATCAACCACCTGCTTCTGGTTTGTCCAGAACGACTTGTTTTTCTACGTTTTATATTTCACTATTTATTTTCTTTTCTGTTTTTAGGAGGAATGTGATAAAACTCTCTTCGATTGCTGTTAAAATCTCGGAGCAGGTCAGATCAGAATTTACTTATAAACCGTAAGTACTAAATCCAGCCAGACACGATTACATCATGCTACTGACTTATACAAAAATTTCTTATTTCATCATTTATATTAAAATAAAAACCATCTTGAAGATCCAGTTGACCTGAGCTAAGCTGGTCTGAGTTGACATCTCTTGAGAGCTGACCTGACCTGAGCTAACCTAACTTAAACAGATCTGCCTTGACCTGACGTGAGCTAACCTAACCTCAATAGATCTACCTTGACCGGGCCCAACCTGACCTGATTTTGCCTGGCCAAGATTGACCTGACTTGGCCTGGCCTGACCTGACTTAACGAATAATAAACTATATCACCTTTTATTTACTCGTTCTAATTCCCAAAAGCAGCCAGTTCGCTATTAACTTTTAGAATTTGTGCAATGTCAGAAGTAACTAATAGGAGTTTCTTAAGGATATCGTCTTTAAAAACACTATAACAATTATAAAAGACCACACGAAAAAAAACGTTCGGGGAGTAAACAAACCGTTTCTACGAGAGCTTACCTAACCTACAATTCTTGTCCAAAAGCTCCAAATACTAAGAACGGGACTCTTACACCCTAACTGATCAATTGATCATACGTAACTCTCAGTTTTTCTTCCTCTGCAGTACCACCAAAGTACCATAAACCACACTTCAAGATAAAACCAAAACACAAACAAAACACGCAAATAAATAAAACTTAAATTTATTAAAGTATTAGTACGAGTTAATACAGAAAAGAAACTTAATGGAAATGAATAAATAAATAAATAAAATAAATGTAAGACAACTCAACTACTACAAACTTAAGAAACTAAGTACTTCAAGAGGACCTCAGTAAAAATAGTGCCCGATAGCCTCATGCAAGAAATGCTCAATAACAAGACTCACGTGCTTATTCTCAAACTTGAGGGCGTCCTCGTCCGTGCAGCCCAAACTCCTCATGTACTTCAAGTACGTCGTGGTGATGGGCAGCGAGTAGTCTATGTCCCCGCCCATCAGAATCCTCTTCTTCCTCGTCTCCTGCTCCCTCTCGATACTCTCCACCGGCGACCACAACTTGGGCGTTTTCTCCGCGCCATGCAGCGGCCTCTTCTTGGGAGGGCTCTTCGGCGGGTCCTTCGCTGTCAGGTTACACACGTCCAGGGGGTTGGTGGAGCGCTTGAGCTCGGGCGTGGGCGTGCTGGTCCTCAGCGGTCCTTCCGGCGTGCTGTGGACGTCTCCGTTGCTCTTGGAGGAGAGGTCGAGGGTCTCGGCGGAGGAGTTGGGGAGGAAGGGGGCGACGTCGGCGGGCGGCGCCGGGGGAGGCGTCGGGAGGGGCGGCGCGGGAGTTTGGACCAGGGGCAGCGTCGGGCTGGGGCTGGGGGTCGGCAGAACGGAAGCGGGTGATGGAGATCGGGGGTGTTTCTGACACTCGGTGCAGCCGAGGAGGAAGCGGGTGACGGCTTCGCGGGGCAGGAACGCGTATGTCTCGGTTATCTGGAACAGAACAAACACTACACTAGTAAAATTCAAGGCTTGAATTAATTTTGTCGAGTTGGGAAATTAGGTGATGTTTTAGTTGTACTTTTGTTGGGCTGGAGGAGGTTGTGTTTAATTGTTACGTGACGGTTTAACGACGACGGTCGGGAATATTGTCTATCAAGGAGCTGTAATTTAATTTGCGCTTCAGGAGCAGGACATGAACTGTCCATTTCAGCGGCGATTAAACTCTTCAATCAAGAACAGATTTTAGATGGTTATTGAAATGGCAGTTGTAAGTTCAGCGCAAAAGGAGAAAGCAAGATTACGCTTATTTTAATGTGTTGTTAGGTTTCATTAGAAGCCAGTGTAAGAGTTAAAAACATCGCAATGAAAAATCAGTAATTGTAATTAATTTTTAATTGGAGTGACTCTAGTGGAATGTGTATTTTCTTATGAAGCTCCTTTGTTAAATTCCAAAGTTTAACAATCAATGGCATGTACTTAAGTATTACCTACAATGTCCGCCTACGACTATCAGAAAATTTTAAGGCAATTAGCACAAGAAATTCTAGATGCTCAGAATGATGTTCCTCTTGTTTTATAAAATTTACAAGTATTATAAATTTGTCTTCATCAATTTTCAAATTTATAAGTGTGCTTTCTTGGAGAATTTGACCAGAAGTAACTAAGACAAAATTACAACAGGGCCGTGTTATTTATTACAACAGCTGTTTTTTTTTTGTTGTTTTTAAACGAATTTGAAAGAATCTCCGGGACTACTTGATCTTCTTGAACTAGTTTGAAAGAATCTCGGGGCCACCTTGTGTTTTGTTTTTGAAGTAATTTGAAAGAATCTCATTATGTTTTGTTTTTGAAGTATGTAGTTTGAAAGAATTTCTGAGATCTCTTGTGTTGTTTTTGAAGTAGTTTAAAGAATCTCGGGGATCCCTTTTTGTTTTTGAAGTATGCAGTTTGAAATAATCTCAAGGTCCCCTTTTGTGTTTTGTTTTTGAAGAGACCCTATGTGACTGGTTTTTGAAGTAGTTTAAGTAATTTGAAAGTATCTCGAAAACACCTTCAGCTGTGCTTTGGAACTAGTTTGAAAAAAATCTCGGGGACTCCTTTTGTTTTATTTTTGAAGTGGTTCGACAGAGTCATAGGGATCCCTTGTCTTGTTTTTGAAGTAATTTGAAAGAATCTCGAGGACCCATTATGTTTTGTTTTTGAAGTATGTAGTTTGAAAGAATTTAAGAATCTCGGGGAACCTTTGTGTCTGGTTTTTGAAGTAGTTTAAAGAATCTCGGAGAACCTTCGCATTTTGTTTTTGAAGTATGTAGTTTGAAATAATCTCGGGGCCCCCTTTTGTGTTTTGTTTTTGAAGTAGTTTTGACAGAATCTCGGGGACCCTTTGTGACAGGTTTTTGAAGTAATTTAAGTAATTTGAAAGTATCTCGAAAACACCTGGTGCTGTGCTTTCGAAGTAGTTTGAAAAAATCTCGGGAACTCCTTTTGTTTTATTTTTGAAGTGGCTCGACAGAGTCATAGGGATCCCTTGTCTTGTTTTTGAAGTAATTTGAAAGAATCTCGAGAACCCATTATGTTTTGTTTTTGAAGTATGTAGTTTGAAAGAATTTCTGAGATCTCTTCTGTTGTTTTTGAAAGTAGTTTGAAAGAATCTCGGGGAACCTTTGTGTCTGGTTTTTGAAGTGGTTTAAAGAATCTCGGGGATCACTTTTTGTTTTTGAAGTATCTAGTTTGAAATAATTTCGAGGCCCCCTTTTGTGTTTTGTTTTTGAAGTAGTTTTGAAAGAATCTCGGGGACCCTTTGTGACTGGTTTTTGAAGTAGTTTAAGTAATTTGAAAGTATCTCGAAAACACCTTGTGCTGTGCTTTCGAAGTAGTTTGAAAAATCTCGGAGACTCCTTTTGTTTTATTTTTGAAGTGGTTCGACAGAGTCATACGGATCCCTTGTCTTGTTTTTGAAGTAATTCGATAGAATCTCGAGGACCCATTATGTTTTGTTTTTGAAGTAGTTTGAAAGAATCTCGGGGAACCTTTGTGTCTGGTTTTTGAAGTAGTTTAAAGAATCTCGGGGACCTCTTTTTTTGTTTTTGAAGTATGTAGTTTGAAATAATCTCGGGGCCCCCTTTTGTGTTTTGTTTTTGAAGTAGTTTTGAAAGAATCTCGGGGACCCTTTGTGACTGGTTTTTGAAGTAGTTTAAGTAATTTGAAAGTATCTCGAAAACACCATGTGCTGTGCTTTCGAAGTAGTTTGAAAAAATCTCGGGGACTCTTTTTGTTTTATTTTTGAAGTGGTTCGAAAGAGTCGCAGGGATCCCTTGTCTTGTTTTTGAAGTAATTTGAAAGAATCTCGAGGACCCATTATGCTTTGTTTTTGAAGTATGTAGTTTGAAAGAATTTCTGAGATCTCTTGTGTTGTTTTTGAAGTAGTTTGAAAGAATCTCGGAGAACCTTTGTGTCTGGATTTTGAAGTAGTTTAAAGAATCTCGGGGAACCCTTTTTGTTTCGTTTTTTAAGTAATTTGAAGGGATCTCGGAGACCCTTTGTGTTTTGTTTTTGAAGTATGTAGTTTGAAATAATCTCGGGGCCCCCTCTTGTGTTTTATTTTTGAAGTAGTTTTGAAAGAGTCTGGGGGTCCCTTTTTGTGTTGTTTTTAAAGTAGTTTGAAAGAATCTCGGGGATTTCTTTTTTTGTTTTTGAAGTAGTTTAAAAGAATCTCGGAGACCCCTTGTGCTGGTTTTTAAAATAAATTGAGGGATCTTGGGGACCCCTTTTATTTTGTTTTTTTTTTTAAGTAGTGTCTGGTTTTTGAAGTAGTTTAAGAGGAACGCAGGGACCCTTTTTCGTAGTTTTTGAAGTATGTACTTCGAAAGAAAGTCGGGCACGCCTTTTGTTTTGTCTTTGAAGTAATTTTAAGAATCTCGGGAACCCTTTGTGACAGGTTTTTGAAGTTTGAAAAAATCTGGGCGGCCTCTTGTGCCTGTTTTTTTTTTTAAATAGTTTTAAGGACCTCAGGAACCTCTTTTGTTTTGTTCTTAAAGTACTTTAAGAGAATCTCGGGGCCCCCTTTTGTGTTTTGTTTTTGAAGTAGTTTAAAAAAAATCTGGAGGACCGCTTTTGTGTTGTTTTTGAAGTAGTTCGAAAGAATCTCAGGGATTCCTTGTGTGTTATTTTTGATGTAGTTTGGAAGAATCTCGGGGACCCCTTTTTGTTTTTGAAGTATTTTAAAATTATCTTGGAGACTCTGTGGTGATTTTTAAAATAGTTTCAGGGACCTTAGGGACCCCGTTTGTTTTGTTTTTTTTTTTTGAAGTAGTGTTTGGTTTTTGAAGTAGTTTAAAAGAAACTTAGGGACCCTTTCTGGTAGTTTTTGAAATAATTCAAAGGAAAGTCGGGTTGCTCCTTTTGTTTTGTCTTTGAAGTAATTTGAAAACATTTCAGGGACCCCTTGTGTTTTGTATTTGTAGTAGTTTGTGAAAATCTCGAGGAACCTTTGTGCATGGAACATGAAGTAGTTTGAAAGAATCTTAGGCATCCATTGTTTTGTTTTTGCAGTAATTTTAAAAATTTCGAGTACATTTTGTACCTAGTTTTTGAAATAGTTTGAAGGATCTTTGGCATCCATTTTAGTTTTGTTTTTGAAGTAATTTGAAAGAATCTTGAGGACTACTTGAGTCTTGGTTTTGAAGTAATTTGAAAGAATCTCGGGGACCCCTTGTGTTTTGTTTTTGAAGTAGTTTGAAAGAACCTCAGGGACTCCTTTGTCTGGTTTTTGAAGTAATTTTAAAAATCTTGGGGACCCCTTCTGTCTTGTTTTAGAATTAATTTAACAGGATCTCGTCTACCCATTGCGTCTGGTTTTTGAAGTAATTTGAAAGAATCTCGGGGACACTTTGTGTTTATTTTTTGAAGTAATTTAAAAGAATCTCGGGGACCACTTGTGTCTGTTTTTTGAAGTAGTTTGAAAGCATCTCGGGGACCCATTTTGCGGTCTATTTGAAGTAGTTTGAAAGAGTTTCGTGGATTTCTTGTGTTTTGTTTCTGAAGTGGTTAAATCTCGGGGATTCCTTGTGTCTGGTTTTTGAAGTAGTTTGAAAGAATCGGGGAGGGGGGGGGGCTTTGTTTTATTTTTTAAGTAGTTTAAAAGAATTTCGTTAATACCCATGGTGCTGGTTTTTTAAGTAGTTTGAAGGATCTTGGGAACTTGTTTATTTTGTTTTCGAAGTGATTTGAAAAAATCTTAGGGATCCCTTGTTTTGTTTTTAAAGTAATTTGAAAGTATCGGGAACCTGATTTTTGAAGTACATATTTTCAAAAATCTCGGGGATCCCTTTTTGTTTTGTTTATGAAGTAGTTTAAAAGAATCTCGAGGACCCCTTGGGTTTCGTTTTTGAAGTAGTTTGAAAAGAACTCGGGAATACCTTGTGCTTGGTTTTTGAAGTAGTTTGCAGGATCTTGAGAACCCTTTTTTTTGTTTTTGAAGTAGTTTGAAAGAATCTCAGCGACCTCTTGTGCCTGGTTTTTAAAGTAGTTTTAAGGACCTCGGGATCTTCTTTTGTATTGTTCTTAAAATACTTTGAAAGAATCTCGGTGACGTCGGGTGTCTGGTTTTTTAAGTACTTTGAAAGATTCTCGAGGACCTCTTTTGTTTTGTTTTTGAAGTAATGATGTAATATTGTAATAATAAGGTTACATTTTTGGGCTATTTTACATTAAAACAACTCTTCAAAAAACGATGTTACAAAAATGTTTCATTTACATAAAAAAATTTGTATATAATGTTCGATTGTATGGAAATTTCGTTTTTGAAATATTTGGGACCCTTTGGTTTTTGATGTAGTTTAAAGGATCTCGGGGATCCCTTTTTGTTTTGCTTTTGAAGTAATTTGAAAAAATTTCAGGGACCCCTTGTGTTTTGTATCTAAAGTAGTTTGTGAGAATCTCGAAGAACTCTTGTGCCTAGAATATGAAGTAGATTGAAAGAATCTTAGGCATCCCTTGTTTTGTTTTCGCAGTAATTTGAAAAATTTCGAGGACCCTTTGTACTTGGTTTTTGAAGTAATTTGAACGCTCTCTGGCATCCCTTTTAGTTTCGTTTTTGAATTAATTTGAAAGAATCTTGGGGACCACTTGAGTCTTGTTTTTGAAGTAATTTGAAAGAAATCTCGGGGACCCCTTGTGTTTTGTTTTTGAACTAGTTTGAAAGAACCTCGGGGACCCCTTTGTCTCTTTTTGAAGTAATTTTAAAAATCTTAGGGACCCCTCCTGTCTTGTTTTTGAATTAATTTACAAGGATCTCGTGTACCCCTTGCGTCTGGTTTTTGAAGTAATTTGAAAGAATCTCGGGAACCATTTGTGTTTTGGTTTTGAAGTAGTTTGAAAGAATCTCGGGGACTACTTGTGTCTGGTTTTTGAAGTAGTTTGAAAGAATCTCGGGGGAGGGGGGGCTTTGTTTTATTTTTTAAGTAGTTTAAAAGAATTTCGTTAATACCCATGGTGCTGGTTTTTTAAGTAGTTTAAAGGATCTTGGGAACTTGTGTTATTTTGTTTTTGAAGTGATTTGAAAGTATCGGGAACCTGATTTTAGAAGTACATATTTTGAAGAATCTCGGGGATCCCTTTTTGTTTTGTTTATGAAGTAGTTTGAAAAAAAACTCGGGAATACCTTGTGATTGGTTTTTGAAGTAGTTTGCAGGATCTTGAGAATCCTTTTTTTTTGTTTTTGAAGTAGTTTGAAAGAATTTCTAAGATCCCTTGCTTTGTTTTGGAAGTAATTATAATCATGAGGACCACATGTCTTGATTTTGAAGTAATTAATTAAATATGTAATGTTCAGCCACCGAGTGAGTATTGTATATATATTAGAATTTTGTAGAGTCTCCTTGAACACAGATCTCCTTAGTTGCTTATTTCAGGTACGAAATGAACGAAAAATTAGAAAGTTTTTGTATTTCCGATGTGAAGAAGGATTGAATTTAGATTTTGCTATGAGGTAGTTCTTGAAAGAGGCCATTATATAATAAAAAAACGTGGGAATCAGCTTTAAAATCTACTTTCAAGCTATTTTTTATTCCGTAATCGGGAATTTCCAAAAAAACTCAAAAAAATTTTGTCTGGTGTAGTGACCCGCCCGATCACGCAAAATACATCGCTTACTACCACTCTTACTCAAAAACCGCCACCCGTTCGAAACTCGCCAAGTTCAAACCCAGCGATTATACTTTAAAAGTGCTCCCGATTAGACTTTTCCCGGTGGCTTTCGCAACTTCTCCTCAATTACAAGCCCGCGTCTGAATAAATACGGGGTGGTTGGAGGTCGAGTGTAAAACAGCGCTCGCAAACAACCCTCTTCGAATCGCGGAGTTGATGTTTCCGACCAAATAACCGTATTTCCATATCGCCAGACTACAAACGTTGAAATATATTGACAATCAACAGGTGTGTTACATCCGCCGAATATCAACCAACTCGTTTGTACTCTGACAGATGCAGCAACATTACGAAAGACGGGTCCAAAGAAGGGCGACGATAATAACGAATCGCTGGAAACTTTAAAGCCGGCTCACCGTCCGATAGGTCCTCTTCTGGCCCGCGTGCTTCCCCGGACGACCCTCCAGCTCCACGTGGACGTTGTAGATGATGTCGAAGAAGTTCTCCACGACGGCCACCTTGCGGTACACGGGCTCGCCGGTGGAATTCTGCAAAAGATTAACAAAATTAATCATCAAAGTATACTTTGTCTAGTTTCTATTTGTCTATCTCCTTCAAAAAATTGATGACGTCATGGCAACATTTTGTCGACTAAATGTGATTGTCAAAAACGCTTTCTTTGGATCATATTTAATATCATACTATGACCATGCGACGGAAGATACAAAAAGCGAGAAAAACAAAGATCGATCTGTCATAATTTAGCAGCGGTAATTTATGACAAGTATTGTGAGTATCCTCGTCAAACACCCATAAAACAGCAGCTTCATTTAAGAAACACTTACTTTGTTTACTTTGTTGATTCATGCCTCCCTTTCAGAAGTAATAATAAAGCTACTTTGATATTTTTTGCGCCGCCCCCGCCCCGGCTCGGGCGCCTCTCGGCTTCTCCGCACATTCCGCCCCCGAGCGCGGCTGTGCCGCTCGGCAGCGACGGCGGCCCGAATTAGGGACGGGGGTTGGGTGGGCGGCGGATATTCCGGAGGTCTGCAGGGTTGAGGATGATTCGGCACAACTCCGGCAGCCGGGGTATTCAGCTGAGGGTAACCAGGGGTATAAAACCGAGCGGCGGTGTGGGTCGTCCCCGAGAGGGTGGAACTAACTCGACGGTGCAACACAGCTCGCTCTAGGGCCGGGGGAGGATTCGACCTTTCTCCTGCTACACAAAGGAAAAATATCCATCCCTCGTACGACGCCGCTCCCCGAACGCTCTTGTGTTACTATGGTTTTAACCGAACGTTACGCGGGTTGCACTGTGCCAGGTGGAAACAAGCAATGAGATAAATGGGCGGGCGGAGGGAGCGGAGGCGAGGGATTCGAAGGGGTTGAGGAAAATTGAAAAATTTCGAACGCTGAGTGATAGCGAGATTTTGGGGTCGGAGGTGGCGCGGCGGCGGCACGCGGAGCGGGAGGTGGGAGGGGGGCGAGGGACTGGCTCGTGGTCGTGCACTATCAGGATTATGGGGGTGGAGTGGGGTGGATGGTTTGCGGCGAACTTTCTTGATCTCGAGATCGCATCGTTAGTTGTATCGTACAACCCTTATTATTTAAACTATATTTTTTAAATTCAATTAACACCTTTTTCATGATGACATTATTCACTCTTAAAAAACTTAAATTAAAGTTATAGTGTCTTGTTATAAATTAAAAAAAAATATTTATTACACATATAATTTCTTAGGTAAATAATATAATTGAAAATTTTTGAAAATCTAAAAAATGTCGAAAAATTGAAAAATCCAGAAATTGAAATGTTGGTAAATTAAGAAAGCGAAAACTTTAAAAAGCGAGAAATCTTAAACTCGAAAAGTCGAAAAATTTTAAATATCGAAAAACTGATGTGTCAAAAAATCGTAGAATCGAAAAATGTAGAATTTAAAGAATCGAAAACTTGAAGAACCATCAAACTGAAAAATAAAAAATTCCAAATTTCAAAAAAGTGAAAAATAAATATCGAAGAACTGAAAAATCGAAAAACCGAAAAATCGGCAAATTGAGATATCTAAAATAAAAAAAAATGAAAAATGAAAATATCGAAAGATCGAAGGATCGAAAAATTGAAAAATGTAAAAACGAAAAATTTTAGAAAAACTGTGTAAAACTGGATTTGTAAGTTTTTAACACCATTAAAGTATTGATTGATTTAAAACGCAAACAGCCGAAAAATGAAAAAATCCAAAAATCGAGTTATCGAAAAATCCAAAATTTCAGAAATTTTACACTGAAAAATCGGAACGTCGAAAAATCGAAAAATTGAAAAACTGGAAGTAACCCAAAATTGGAAAGTTAAAGACTGAGAAATCGAAAAAGTAAAAAATCCAGCATATAAAGAAGAAAATTAAAAAAAAAATCGAAAAATTAAAAAATCAAAAAACTGAAAAATGGAAAATCTAGTAACATCAAAAAGTGAAAAATCGATAAAATATAAAATCGAGAAATCGTAAAATCGAAAAGTGGCAAAATCGACCAAATATTGAAAAATCTCCACACTGAAATATCGAAAAATTGAAAATCAAGATAATGATAAATTGAAAATCGAAAAATTGAGAAATGAGAAGTTGAAAAATCAAATAACTGAAGAATAAAAATAAATTGAAAAAATCCTAAAACTGAAATAACCATACAATGAGAAATCAAAAGTTGTAAAATCGAGAAATCGAAGTCGAAAATCGAAGTGTCCAAAAATCGGAAATAAAAAAATCGAAGAACTGAAAAGACAAAAACCTAAAAATTGAAAAATTGAAAAATCGAAAACTAAGAAGTCGAGAAATAGGAAAATCGAAAAATCTAAAATTTAGATACGTCAAAATTTAAAAATTGATAAACTAAAAAAGTAAATGTAAAAACTCGAGAAAACAAAAATCGAAAAATTCAAAAAGCAAATACGTGAAAAATGGAAAAATTGAAAAAATCGGAAAACTGAAAAATTGACAAACTGAAAAATCGGGAATCCGAAAAGTCGAGAAATTGAGCAATGAAAAAATCGAAAAATCGAAAATTTAGACACATCAAAAAATGAAAAATCGATAAAGAAAAAAATCGAGAAATCAAAAAACCGACAAAATATTGAAAAATCTACACACTGAAAATATCGAAAAATTGAATAATCGAATAATTAAAAATGCAGAGACGCAAAAATTGAAAATCGAGAAAATGAAAAATTAAAAAACGAGATGCTGAAAAATCGAATAAGTGAAGAATAAAAAAAATTGAAAAATTCCAAAATTAAAATAACCATAAAATAAGAAATCAAAAGTTGAAAAATCGTGAAATCAAAGTCGAAAATCAAAATGTCGAACAATCAAAAAAGTGAAAACTCAAGAAATCTAAAAATCCAAAAGTCTAAAACTTCAAATGTTGAAAAGTCGGAAAGTCCAGAAATTGGAAATTGAAAAAATCGGAAAAGTGAAAAATTAAAAACAAAAACTGAAACATTGAAAAATCGAAAAAATGAGAAGTCGAGAAATAGGAAAGTCGAAAAACCAAAAAATCGATTAATTAGTGCAGGAATTGATAAATCGAAAAATATAAAATTTAGATACATACGTCAAAAATTTAAAATTGAAAAATTAAAAGTAAAAAATGGAGGAAGCAAAAATCGAAAAATTGAAAATTTTAAAAATTGAAAAATTGAAAAATCATACTGAAAAATAGAAATGAAAAATCGAAAAACTGAAGAATAGACAAACTAAAAAATCGACGAAATATTGAAAAATCTACACACTGAAATATCGAAAAATTGAAAAAAGACAAAATGAAAAATTAAAAAACGAGATGTTGAAAAATTAAATAACTCAAGAAAAAAAATTAAAAAATCCCAAAACTTAAATATCCATAAAATGAGAAATCAAAATTTTAAAAATCGAAAAGTCGAAAATCGAAATGTCGAAAAATCAAAAATTTTAAAAATTAAAAATAAAAAATTCAAAAAGTTAAAAACTCCAAAGGTCAAAAACGTGAAAAATCAAAAACTAAAATTGAAACATTGCAAAATCGAAAAAGTGAAAAGTCGAGAAATAGAAAACCCGGAAAATCAAAAAACCGATTAATTAATCGAGAAATTGAGAAATGGAAAGATATAAAATTTAGATACGTTAAAAATTTAAAAATTGATAAATTGAAAAAATAAAAGTAAAAAATCGAAAAAACAATAATCGAAAAATTGAAAATTTCAAAAATCTAAAAATCGAAAATCTAAAACTCGGGAATCCGAAAAGTCGAGAAAGTAAAAAATCGAGAAATAGAAATATCGACGAGAACTGAAAAATCTACACATTGAAATATAGAAAAATTGAATCATGGAAAAATGGAAAATCTAGAAACGTAATTGATATTCGAGAAATTGAAAAACGAAAAAATGAAAAATTAAAAAACGAGATGTTGAAAAATCGAATAACTGAAGAATAAAAAAAATTAAAATCCTGAAACTGAAATATCCATTATCGGAAATTTAAAAAATGCAAAAACTTAAAAATCAAAAACTTAAAAACTGAAACATTGAAAAATTGAGGAGTCGAGAAATAAAAAAGTCGAAAAACCAAAAACTCGATTAATTAGTGCAGAAATTGGGAAATCGAAAAATCAAATTTAGATACGTCAAAAATTTAAAAACTGATGAATTGAAAACAGAAAATATTGGGAAACCGAAAAGTCGAAAAATTGAAGCATCGAAATATTGAAAAATCCCAACACTAAAATATCGAAAAATTCAATTGTCGAAAAACTGAAAATCGAGAAACATCCTGAAACTTTAATAACGACAAATTGAGCAATCGAAAGTTGAAAAATTGAAAATTCACAAAAATGGAGAAATCGAAAAATGTAAAATTTTAAAAACTGAAAAATTAACATATGAAAAAATTGAAAAATCGAAAAACCGAAACTTGAAGAAACTGAAAAATCTGAAATTAAAAATCGAAAAAATAAAAAATCGAGAAATCGAAACTCGAAAATTTTAAAAACCGAAAAATTGAAAATTCAAAGACCCGAAAAATTGAAAAAGTGACCAAATGAAAAACTGAAAAATCGTAAAATTGAGAATTCCAGTAATCGAGAAGTCGAAAAACCAAAAAATCGATTAATCTAGAAATTGAAAAATCGAAAAATTAAAAAATCGGGAAATCGGAAAATCGAAAAGTCGAAAAGCTGAAAATTTGGAGAATTGAAATATTGAAAAATCCCAACACTGAAATATCGAAAAATTAAGTAATCGGAAAATTGAAAATCGAGGAATTGAAAAACCAAAAATTGAATAAAAAAAATGAAATATCCAAAACTCATATAAATATATAGAAAAATTTGGACAAATGAAGGAACGGGTTATTTATGAAACTTTGAAAATAGAGGTCAAGTACAGATCGAATAGACGAAAACAAAACTCACAATTTATATTATACACAGTTATTTGTTGTCGTTGCAGTTATTACATATTATTACATTTGAAAAAACGACAATAAAAGAAAAATCACAAAGTAGATTTAAAAGTTTA